ATCACGAGTAATAAGGTGAAGAGATGGACAAAAACAAATTGTGTACTGGGCACAAATGTATGGATATTAAATTATTCAAAAAGAGTTGGAGAGTACCGGTATATGTATTTGGAATGAACAGGTTATACTTGGGTTAGTGAGAGTTGGATGAACTACTTTTACAATTATAAATTTGCAAATTTACCTACCAATTCTTTGGGTAATGGAGGGATACCCTTGATAGCTATAGGTCCCCAGCGCATGATTGGAGAAGATATAGCTCCATGGTTTACAGCTTCTTGTTCAACAAATGGCTCATCAATTAGGTATTTGGCTCGCATCTAATAATGAAATAAAGCAACAATTTAGATAACAAGATCATAATATACTGAGTTATAAAATGGATAAGAGCAAATTAATACCCGTATGTATAAAAATGAAAGTTATAAAATTTCTCCTAATTTAGGTCAGTTAAGTATGCCAGTGGGGAAATATTAATTTAATAATTAAATATCTTTAGTATATTATGGTGCTTAATGTACCAGTATAGTTAACTGAAACAAACATTTACCATTTTTAACTTGATAGCAGTACCAATGTCTTTTGAAGGGTGCATTCCTTTTAAGTAGCCCATAAATTCTTTAAACTCCTCAATCTTTGGTAGTTCAAAAAAAAACAATGGTAAGATGTTCAATGAAATTAAACAATGGTAACATGTTCAATGAAATTAAACAATGGTAAGATGTTCAATGAAATTAAACAATGGTAAGATGTTCAATGAAATTAAACAATGGTAACATGTTCAATGAAATTAAACAATGGTAAGATGTTCAATGAAATTAAACAATGGTAAGATGTTCAATGAAATTAAACAATGGTAACATGTTCAATGAAATTAAACAATGGTAACATGTTCAATGAAATTAAACAATGGTAAGATGTTCAATGAAATTAAACAATGGTAAGATGTTCAATGAAATTAAACAATGGTAACATGTTCAATGAAATTAAACAATGGTAACATGTTCAATGAAATTAAACAATGGTAAGATGTTCAATGAAATTAAACAATGGTAAGATGTTCAATGAAATTAAACAATGGTAACATGTTCAATGAAATTAAACAATGGTAACATGTTCAATGAAATTAAACAATGGTAAGATGTTCAATGAAATTAAACAATGGTAAGATGTTCAATGAAATTAAACAATGGTAACATGTTCAATGAAATTAAACAATGGTAACATGTTCAATGAAATTAAACAATGGTAAGATGTTCAATGAAATTAAACAATGGTAAGATGTTCAATGAAATTAAACAATGGTAACATGTTCAATGAAATTAAACAATGGTAACATGTTCAATGAAATTAAACAATGGTAAGATGTTCAATGAAATTAAACAATGGTAACATGTTCAATGAAATTAAACAATGGTAAGATGTTCAATGAAATTAAACAATGGTAAGATGTTCAATGAAATTAAACAATGGTAAGATGTTCAATGAAATTAAACAATGGTAACATGTTCAATGAAATTAAACAATGGTAAGATGTTCAATGAAATTAAACAATGGTAATATGTTCAATGAAATTAAACAATGTAACATGTTCAATGAAATTAAACAATGGTAACATGTTCAATGAAATTAAACAATGGTAAGATGTTCAATGAAATTAAACAATGGTAAGATGTTCAATGAAATTAAACAATGTTAAGATGTTCAATGAAATTAAACAATGGTCAATGGTAAGATGTTCAATGAAATTAAACAATGGTCAATGGTAAGATGTTCAATGAAATTAAACAATGGTCAATGTTAAGATGTTCAATGAAATTAAACAATGGTCCATGTTAAGATGTTCAATGAAATTAAACAATGGTCATTGTTAAGATGTTCAATGAAATTAAACAATGGTCATTGTTAAGATGTTCAATGAAATTAAACAATGGTCATTGGTATGATGTGCAATGAAATTAAACAATGGTCAATGTTAAGATGTTCAATGAAATAAAAAAAATATTAAGATGTTCAATGATATACAACTACAACACAAGTTAGAAAAAAAATTTAATTATGCATAAGAGTTAGTGACTTATTTAACTGTTTTAACCCTATGTGGCAGTGTATGCCCCGTTAGTCCGTTATTTTGAGACAACCGCTATTAGTACAACCATTTTTGGCGCCCAACGCGAGGTTGCGAGGTGTGACCTCGCCTAGCACTGGATCGGAATGTTGAACTCAGGTATCCCTTTCACCCCACCCGGACGGTCGCGCATAGGGAGGAAATAATAGAATACCACGATGTGCGCTTTAGTTAGAAAATCAATAATTTATTTCTCGGGAACCCTAGCGTATTAAGTTATAAATTATATCTAGTTAGAAAGGGGATTTTATTCACTATACCTTAGCATATTTACAAGTTTCCATCGTTGGAGAATATTTTAACATTTTGTCATTAAAGGAGTTTTCGCCTTCATTTATAGTGGTCCCCACCCCTTCTAGTTAAAATATCTCAAGAACTATTTAACTAATAAAAATATAAAATAGTATCTTAGATAGCTGAGACAAAACTGCACAGATCACATATAAGTCGTTAGGGCTTTGGTCAGAGATTTTAATTATTACTCGGGATTAGTCCCCAGAGTTAGGCATTTTATCCCAGGAAACTGGCCAGAAGGCAAAACGTAGACCGACTTGGTTTAAGTCTGACGGAGAAGCTCTCTCATATGTCCGCGCAAGGCTTTAAAAAGGGGAGCACACTAAATAGGGGGGTCATTCGAGATTGGTCAGCATCCCTGCAGTGTGCCTTTGTTCAGTGCGGCCCATTGGAACGCTCTGTAAGTAGCGGCAAATACGCCATTTTATTTCTTTGTGGTTAGTAGGAACTTGTTGAGTGTTAGCATTAGAAGATTTCTGTTCAGACTTATAGCCAGGATATAGTGTAGAATAACCTACAGCGTGTAGACTTATGCTCAGGCTATTTTAAAGGTTAACATACAACCGGTAAATAAATTCTTTAATAGGATTAATAAATTAGATACCAGTGACCAGGGTGTGTGAGCGTAACAAACAACTGCATATCGTTCTGGGTACACATACTGCAATGCGCTTATAAAATAAGCTATTGATACAACAGTATACAACCAGCGAGTGTCCGTCAAATATGTGTAATAGGCTAACTTTCCTGCCGTGTGCTAAATTCTCACATAGGAAATGGTGCATGTGTGAGGATCATATTCCATATAATGATTCATTCTGCAATCTGCTGTTGTCTTAACAAGACACAGCGATGGGCAGATACAAGTATCAAGCCAACGGGGGTCATACTTTATACCATTGTATGTACTGTCCTGCTATGGGTGCTTCTTACATAGACACCATACCTGGATGGCATACTATAATAACTTCAAGATCTTTAAAGTTTATGTTAGCCCTCACATCGCACTCTGGTTTATGTTAGCCCTCACATCGCACTCTGGTTCTGTGTGTAGCATTAACACTGTGCATGTGTTTCAAATTAAACACTACACGTGGTTTCTTAAACATTCGTAATACAAAATAAGTATCTTTGCCATGTGTATAAAACAATACTACGTACGTATCATTTATCATGCTTTCTAATTAAGTATATGTTGTCGCCACGTGTAATTACGTGGTTATGTAACATGTTTATTGTTAGCTATGTTAGTCAGGACATTGTTGACCTGTACTATTTGTTTATTTTCAGATATTGTCCTTTTTCTTCATAGGCTTCTTCTCCATAGTTCATAGTGTACTTTTTCTTGTTTTCATCATAGTAGAGCATTAATAAAGCTACAGTCCTCAAGACCTGATTGTTTCATTTTGATTTTATTTAAAAACTGTAAGCTACGTCACCACTCGGCTACAGTTTTTGGCGCTGCGAGCAGGGTCACCTACACACCACACTACAACAGTGTTTGGCGTTGTCACCTAAGTCAACCCTAAACCACCACTCTACTACACCTATAATTGTTTTTTCAGAGATATTCCACATGTTAGTACCAGTTATGACAGTATTAGCACTAGCTGTGATGGTGACAAGTGTAAGATTGACAATTTTAGTCCTAGGCTTAGTTGTATTGTTACAGACAAATTCATTTGGGAAAGGATGGAAATTGAACAGAGTAAGTCAAAGATTGGATCCCAAAGACCTTCCCTAAAGAGATTCATTTATGTTTGTGTCTGTTCTGGAGTATTAAAAAATGGATTTAATAACTTCATTGCAAAAGGAATTTTTTTTTTAACTCACTTCCTGCCTCCCAATTTGCTTTCTGTATGACAAAAATTTGAAGGTACCAGTAGTGAAGGAAAAAAAAAATTACCAATATTACAATTTTTAATATAAGTAAATATCATTGACATTTTCGGAAAGAATATTGCTTCTAGCATCTCAAAAACATGATTTTATTATATGAGTAGTACACAAGTACTAGATTACCTTAATATCAACTATATTATTGACATAGTAGCAACATGTTTTAAGGAAAGCTGGTTCAGCAAGTACTTGTGTCACATTAATGGCCTCCATTGTGTAAGCAGCTTCCAATTTGAATTTAGGGAACAACACATCAATTTGATTTCCAGCTTGGATAACTTTCTTTAGTCTGGGCTGGAGAACTTTGCTTAAAATAGACAGTAATAAAAAACAATGAAATATATAGAAATGTTTTGATATCTATATCTAAATCCAGAGCAATTTAACTTAAATCTATAAAATACAATTACTGTATTAAAATTAATTTATTTTTTAATAAAATTTTTTAAAGAAATAATTGCAGCAATGAATATAAATAAAAATTACATTGATAATTATATTTTTTTGGTACATTCAACAAATTTTTTCATTTACAACTCAACAATAATGATTTTTCAGCAAGGATATAAGGCATATCATTTCTTCAATTGTAATATTTGTGTACCGTAAGATTTATAAAAAAAGAGTCCCTTACGTGGCAACTCTGAGAATGGCATGGTAAGCCTTCTTCTCCACCTCACCCAGTCGACTACGGCTGTTGTCCAAGATAATTTCATGCTCCCGACTAATAAGGCCTGAATAGAGAGAGAACCCTAAGATTCTCTCTTGTACCAAACATTGGGCCAACAGTAAGGAACAATAATGAAGCTCATTCTCTTTCACAGATACCCTCCATTTGTTGCCTAAATCTTCCAAAACAGTCTGGCCAGACAAAAAAAATGTGCATAAATATTAGAACCAATAATAATAATATAAATTTACATGAGTTATTATTAAATGTAACAACACAAAAAAAATAATAATTTCTTCATGCAATCACTATTATGCTAAAGAAATGCGACTTTTATATTGAAAATGTAGCATTAACTTGGAGTAAGTGTGAGGATCTGTTGGAAGGAAACTAGCTTATTTTCATAACAAAATCCCAGGCCTTGTGATTTCATCCTGCCAAAACCACACCATCCTCTCATTGAGAAGGAACAACGCCATCTTCTCTTTGAGAAGAACAGATGCCATCCCCTTTCTGAAGTCAACTGGATACTTAGTGCACATCAACATAGCTTTCAAGATATAAAATCCAAAGTTTCTGCTATTTGTGTTTAAGAAAAAAATATTATTCATGCTGCTATAAAACCTTGTTCCATTTTTAAAGTGCAGCTTGTACTTGTAGAGTTGTAATGGTCTCTAATACTAACCTGAATCATTTGTTTCCGTTTCTTCTCTTCAGGAGTTTCTCTTTGACTTGCTTTAGCTGTAGGATCATGTCTAGCCTGGATTCTCTCCCTTCGAGTGCCAATTCGTCTAAAAAGTAAAAAATTTATCTATTAGGCAAAATTTCTATACCGATACGGCCTAATTTGGTCCTTAGTTTTAACTGAAATAACCAGGTCCTTTAAAAACACTAAAATTTGATGAAAGCAAACCTGAGTTCATCCGCAGTCATGTCTTTAAAGCTTGTGTGTTTGGGCAACATGTCTTCCAAGAGCTTGTGAATCATCGCCCTGGTGACTTTAGTAGACAGCACCATGGGTGGGTCCTCCAACTCCATCATGACTTCTTTCTTAGCAACGTTCATCATCATGGCACAGTAGTTCTGTACTGTTACTTTGTATTTTAATTCTATGTTGATTTCTTTTTCTGATACATAGATTGTGTCTCTTGAAAAAAACTTCACCAGTTTTTCTAGCTGGAATTTAAAAATCATAATGACATACTGGTAAGTAACTGTTTGTTAGAACTAATAAAAGAGACAATTTTAAGGTTGTTTTTTTTTTATTTGAAAAAAATGTAGACTTAAATTTATAAACTACATCATTTAAAAGTATATTGTGAGTATCAAGTAATATTAAAAATCGACTGACCTATTGAATACCTAGAATATGAGTACTTATACTAGAGTAGGTTGAAAATAGAATGACCTACTGAATCACATCCTTCATTGACTTGAGCTGATTTTATTTTCAGTTCCCGAGCACAAAACACACATCTTCGAATTGGCTTGGGTCTTACTCCGAATTTCCTTCTTCTCTGAAGCATTTGTGCAACCCATGATTCATCTTTGTTTCTCAGCACTACACTGACTAGAGTTTCTAGTGTTATTAGTGAAGAAGTCATCAACTGATTACATTTAAAGCCTTCTTCTTGTTTAGGGAGTGATTCCAGGAAAGTGTTATTGTCAAAAAATGTTAACTGAAAACAGAGTTAGCAACTAAAATAATTTTTCAAGATAGATATTGAAATAGCATTTTAAACGTTTTTATTCACCAGAGTACAATTTCTAAGGTAAGTGTGACAAAATGGAAAATTAATTTTAATGATTGGGGGACATCTTGCTACAATAACACTTAAGGTATCAATATATATTTCTGAAGTCAACATAAGACTGAGAATGCTACAAAATGTTACATCAACTAATAATTGTAACTTATTTCAGAATTTTAATCATTTGCAGGAATAATGAATCAAAAAATATATTTTTATTAAAGCTAAATTAAATTGTAAAAATTGTGCAATTCACCTTTTTCTCCATTAGGGAATAAATCAAGAAAACCATATTCTTTCTCTTCCACAGTTTAGCCAAAGACTCAATTTTATCACTGTCCATGGCAAAATGTAATAAATCTTGCAATATCTTTCTCAAGATCTCCAATGAACAGTGACCCACCTAAAAGTATTTAAATGAATCTGTATTTAATCAAGAATTGTTTAAAATATAATTTTTTAAATGAAATAACTAGATTGAAGATTAAATCCTAACTATTAGTTATATTACATTTAAGATTACATTTAGAATGACAAAACAAAAAAAAAACTATTCTTAAAAGTATGGAATTCTAACATAAGCTCGATTTAAAGATATACAGCTATCCACTAAATTTTTGACAATCAGCAATAAAAGAATTTTATCTTATCTTAAACTTAATGATAATGATGTAGATATTTACTCCATTTTTAAAACTTTTTTTACTTCCGGCCAACATGTTAAAAAAATAGAACTGCCCAAGATATATAACATGGTTATTATAGGAATATTGTTTCAAATATTTCATTATATGCATATTAAATGACAAGTATATAGATTTGAGAGCACAGCCTGAAAACAACTAGGTTTTATTGGGTTCAAGGGCCAAAAGAGAACCAACCTTTTTGTGAATTTCAGCAAAAGAAGCACATCGTTTACTGCCACAACAGTAGCCCAATATTTCATGTCTGTGTCTGAGGCACAAACTTGGGTTGAGTGGATCAGGTTCATAGGCCACGGTGGTATCATAGGGTGGACCAAGAGGCACAGTTTCATAGTCAGATATGGGCAGAATTAATCCTGTTAAATGGACCAAAAGGCACAGTATCATAGTCAGATGTGGGCAGAATTAATCCTGTTAAATGGACCAAGAAGCACAGTTTCATAGTCAGATATGGGCAGAATTGATCCTGTTCAAAGGACCAAGAGGCACAGTATCATAGTCAGACGTGGGCAGAATTAATCCTATTCAAAGTCAGTTTCAATGCTTTCAGTACAGGTACTCATAATATCATAAACCTTGATTATGTCTTGTACATTACTATTCTTTTATTTGTTTACGCGATGAGTATCAGCTGACAGTTGTTAATATATTTTAGATTATAAACTCAAGAAATTTAAGTCCTGCAAACTATAGTCTTTTATTTTTTCTTAGAGGGCTGTATAAAAAGGAGTGGTAGAGGAAAAATCCTAAGAAAACTTTTGAAGAAAAAGGACAATATATAAAGCATCGCTTGAACATTCCAGAGAGCAACTAGGTCACACCTTGACCATGCCTGTCTATTATTTGACTTCTGGGATATTTACTGCGATAAATTGACAATCCCTGGAGACTCAAACTTGAATAAAAGTAAAAATCCCAGACCACAACAATGCAACTTGTATGTGTCTGGTCATGTTAAGTCTCAGTTATCTAAGATATACTTTTATATTTATATGTGGTAGTGTGGTGGTTTAGGGTTGACTTAGGTGACAACGCCAAAACACTGTAGTAGTGTAAATTGACCCTGCTCGCAGCGCCAAAAACTGTAGTAGTGTGGTGGTTTAGGGTTGACTTAGGTGACAACGCCAAAACACTGTAGTAGTGTAAATTGACCCTGCTCGCAGCGCCAAAAACTGTAGCCGAGTGGGTGACGTAGCTTACAGTTTTTAAATAAGATCAAAATGAAACAATCAGGTCTTGAGGACTATAGCTTTTTAATTAATTCTCTACTATGATGAAAACAAGAAAGAGGACACTATGAACTATGGAGAAGAAGCCTATGAAGAAAAAGAGAAAGAAAAAAAAGGACAATATCTGAAAATAAACAAATAGTACAGGTTAACAATGTCCTGACTAACAAAGCTAATAATAAACATATTACATAACCACGTAATTACACGTGGCGACAACATATACTTAACTAGAAAGCATGATAAGTGATACGTAAGTAGTATTGGTTCATACACAGGGCAAAGATAATTATCTTGTACTACGAATGTTCTAACTATAAAAGAAACCACGTGCAGTGTTTAATTTGAAACACGTGCACAGTGTTAATGCTACACACAGAACCAGAGTGCGATGTGAGGGCTAACGTAAACTTTAAAGATCTTGAAGTTATAATAGTATGCCATCCAGGTATGGTGTCTATGTAAGAGGCACACATAGCGGGACAGTAAATGACTACCGTTGGCTTGATACTTGTATCTGTCCATCGCTGTGTCTTGTTAAGAAAACAGCAGATTGCAGAATGAATCATAGTTAAATTATATGGGATGTGATCCTCACATGCACTATTTCCTATGTGAGAATTTAGCACAAGGCAGGAAAGTTAGCCTATTACACATATTTGACGGACACTCGCTGGTTGTATACTGTTGTATCAATAGCTTATTTTATAAGCGCATTGCAGTATGTGTACCCAGAACGATATGCAGTTGTTTGTTACGCACAAACCCTGGTCACTGGTATCTATTTATTAATCCTATTAAATAATTTATTTAACGGTTGTATGTTAACCTTTAAAATAGCATGAGCATAAGTCTACACGCTGTAGGTTATCCTACACTCTATCCTGGTTATAAGTCTGAACAGAAATCTTCCAATGCTAACACTCAACAAGTTCCTACTAACCACAAAGAAATAAAAATGGCGTAATTGCCTCTACTTACAGAGCGTTCCAATGGGCCGCACTGAACAAAGGCACACTGCAGGTATGCTGACCAAAGCTCGAAATGACCCCTACCTCGTGTGCTCCCCTTTTTAAAACCGTGCGCGGACATATCAGAGAGCCCCTACGTCACACCTAAACCGAGTCGGTCTAAGTTTTGCCTTCTGGCCAGTTTCCTGGGATAAAATGCCTAACTCTGGGGACTAATCCAGAGTAATAATTAAAATCTTTATCCACATCCCTAACGACTTATATGTAATCTGTGCAGTTTTGTCTTAGCTATCTAAGATGCTATTTTATATTTTTATGACTTAAATAGTTTTTTAGATATTTTAACTAGAAGGGGTGGGGACCACTATAAATGAAGGCGAAAACTCCTTTAATGACTAAATATTAAAATATCCTCCAACGATGGAAACTTGTAAATATGCTAAGGTATAGTGAATAAAATCCCCGTCTTAACAAGATGTAATGTATAACTTAACACGCTAGGGTTCCTGATAAATAAATTATTGAATTCCTAACCAATGCGCACATCGTGGTATTTTATTATTTCCTCCCTATGCGCCGGTCTTATAGTGACCGTCCGGGGGGGGGGGAAGGTGAAAAGGGATACCTGTTACGCACCGCGCCAGTGCTACTACACACCGCGCGGCCTTGAGTTGGGCGCCAGACATGGTTTACGTAACAGGTCAAATAGTGGGTTGGGGCATACACTGCCACATATATAAGTTAAATAATCTTTGAGATTATTAAATAGAAGAGGTTGGGGACCCCCTCCCCCCTCCATTTCCAGTTTTTCCCCCATGGATGAATGTGACAAAAAACACTCTTAATTACTTAACCTCTAAAGATATAAACTAAGATATAGAGAATAAAATCACCTTCCGACCATATATAACTTATAGCTTAATTCACTAGGGTTCCCAAAAAATAAAAGATTGAACTTATACAAAAAGCAAACATTGTGACTTCCTAATCTAAGCCTCGAGTATTGGTTGGAGTGAAGCCGTTCATACAATGTCATGGTAGCCTAGTGTCTTGGTCAAATTCTGTGACAGTGTTAGATGGTGAACGCTCTGTTTCATAAAAGTGTGGCATACAATGCCACATTTATAATATTAGTCAGGCAACTAGTATTTATTAGTTTCAACTGGATAGAATATAAAACCTTAAAATGTACAATTTCTCTTCATCTGAAATTCTAATAACACTGTCATAAGCAACAAGTTGTTATTGTTGAATAATTTAAATTGACCAAGTTATGTACTTTGTGCCAAAACCAACATCCAAAATTTTCACATGAAGAAATGCTCTGAACAAATAATCCTAAGTTGATCATGACCTGATGTTCAGAGATATTTGACAGCATATCTGATGATTAATTCAACCTTCAAAACTGTTTATTATTCACAAAACAAAGAGGGGAAACAAAAAAGTCTTCATATTTATCTCAAGCCTTTCAGAACCTATAAGTAAGCTGATCTGTATTAAGTACCCAGCCTATCACAGATAGTATCAGTCAGAACCTCCTGGCCAATAAGAGTGTGTATAAGCTTATCCATATGTAAAAATTAGCTGGTAACAAGAAGCTTTCAAAAATTAAGAATAAACATTAAACTAATTTAAAAGGTAAAAACATTAGGAAATATTTCTAAAACTTACTGTCTTTTGCATCATTCTTTGGATCAAATGACTGGGCATTTTTTTCTAAAAGCATTTCAGCTACTTTAGTGTCTACGTCTTTGGTTTTTGAATTTTTTACTTCGGCAATCCCTGTAAGACTGTCTATGGTCTTTGCATTGGAGTTGATATTTCTTGCAGCATTTGCACTTTTATCAATGTTGGTTCCCGGTTCATCTAAAGGCATCTGATCAGCAGACCGGCATGAAGAGGTTTCCCCCTGATTAGCAACAGCTACTAGAGCATTGATATTCATGTCAACATCCACAATCTCATCATCAGCTTTAAAAGTGGATCCCAAAGGACCGGAATCTTTCCTTGAGCACATGAATCTCCTATTTCGTTTTTCACTTCCTCCCTCTGTCATCATGTTTCCTTCACTGCACATCTCTACACTAGCCGCACCTGCAACATTCAATGCTTTTGGTGCATTCCAATCACCTTTTTCAAATGTCACTTTGTCTATCACAAAGTTCAGCTGGTCCTCAATAAAGTCAACATCATCAATAATATCATGGTGAGTAATTAATGGTGGAGAATAGCTGGCTTCATCTGTCCTAGCCTTCTTGTACCAGAGATTTTGAATGAAATTCCAAGGCAAAGATGATATTGTTTTGGCGCTTGTATTAATATTGGATTGTTCTGTGGTTAAAAAAAAAAATGCATTGAATTTATAAAGGTGATTCTTAAAGCACACAAAAAATTATAAGTAAAATAGACGACATACCCCATATACAACACAAATATGTCAGCTGATTGTAGATACAGCAAAACATAAACATATCAGCTACTGGAATATACATCCCATACAAAACACAGATAAATGCATGTAAAAAATTGTCCAAAAAGACAAACACCTTATAACCAAAATGATAGTAAGTGCTGATGTAAGTTGTACGGTATCTTCTTATCAAAATTTTTTTCTGCAGGTTATATTAATAGAAAATTTTAATGAATAAACTTCTCCACCCATTTAAATAAACAATGAATTACTAGATGAAATGTTACATTACATAAAAGAACTTTGAGTAAAAACTTATGAAATATTCAAATGTAGGGTGTAATAATAATTTAAATAAATAAATTCTAACAATTTTAGAGTTCTTACAAACTTGGAGCATTAAACTTAGGGCTTGCTTAATGAAATCTCAAATGTAGCATTTCTATCAAGTTCATCATTTAAAATATACACCATGATTAGGCCTATGTCAATATTTTACAGTATGTTAATTATTATGTTTGGGATTCTGAAGTATGTGCTCAAATAATCTCCAGAATAAATGTATAAAATTTGTAGTTTTCTTACGTGTTTTAGAAGACCTAGTAGAGACTTTTTCTTGATCATTCGGAGCTGGAATCTCTAGAATTTTAAGAAAAAAGAACATCTTGCAAGATTACATTGACTACAAAGCCTCATTTGCTCCAACTTGATGCGAGAACATAAATATTCAGCGATGTTCCGTGTTAATAACTGTCCTTTTATTTATAGCTTGCTTACGTGCTTTAGAAGAATCAGGTGAAAGTTTGCCTTGAATACTTTGTAGTTGCATCTCTTTAAGACGAATTTGACGCTTTTTCCAAGATGCTTGAATTTCACGGGCACTTCTCTTCCCATAAGTAGTTATATTCCGATGAATAAAACTTTTCACCTGTAACATACAAGCTACAATGGATGTAACAAGATAAACAAAGAGAATAATTAGTTACATTAATAATTAATAAAACATTATTTTGTTATCAGACTTATTCTGTCATCATATCATCAAAGTCACTGCAGCCTGAGGAAGCTTTGGTCTGCTCCACCACATTGTATGCTGTCATTTTACAGATAGTCATGGTTTTACACTGTCATTTAACAGATAGTCATGGTTTCACACTGTCATTTAACAGATATTCATGGTTTCACACTGTCATTTAACAGATATTCATGGTTTCACACTGTCATTTAACAGATATTATTCATGACCAAGACTGTCATTTAACAGATATTATTCATGACCAAGACTGTCATTTAACAAATGTTCATGGTTTCACACTATCATTTAACGGATATTATTCATGACCAACACTGTCATTTAACAGATATTATTCATGACCAAGACTGTCATTTAACAAATGTTCATGGTTTCACACTGTCATTTAACAGATATTATTCATGACCAAGACTGTCATTTAACAGATATTATTCATGACCAAGACTGTCATTTAACAAATGTTCATGGTTTCACACTATCATTTAACGGATATTATTCATGACCAACACTGTCATTTAACAGATATTATTCATGACCAAGACTGTCATTTAACAAATGTTCATGGTTTCACACTGTCATTTAACAGATATTATTCATGACTTCACACTGTCATTTAACAAATGTTCATTGTTTCACACTGTTGTCATCTGACAGATGTTTTTCATGGTTTCACATTGTCATTTTACGAATGTTGATCTATGGTCTGGATCTACCATATGGCAGGCCCTGGTTGATTTATTGCTATTGAGTGTGCTGTCCTGCCTTATATAAATATTCAATAAGTTTAAAATTAGGCCACTTACTGAACATTACTAACTCTACTATTTACTATAAATAAATACAATTTCATGTATAAAAAATATCTTACTGCTGAGGAAGGTTCATTTTTCAGCTCCAAATTTTGTTTGATAATATACAGAAATATACAACAGAAAAGCCCATGCCACTGATGAAGACAAATTTGAGCCAACCTGGCACGTTGTGTTTTACTTGACATTTTTGTAATGGACAATATATCTTTGCATATGATATGACTGAAAATCAAGCCAGCCTGTATTTTTAAAAAATATATATATATGAAGTAATATTTAATCCCTTTGTTATATAAGATAAGATGCTTTCACTGATGGAAATAATGGAAATTTGTTCTGAACTGATTGTATTGCACATGTTTTCATTCTTAAGAAAACTCTGTTTTAAGAGAGTTAAGACTAATTCCTGATTGTTAACAAAAACATTCAGGGAAAACAATCATGTCATGTTTGTATACAAGTATGGTCAAGCTTTAATATCTACATTAAAAATAATTAAAGTCATGCATCTAGGTAGAGAGGAGGGGGTTACAAATTTGTGCATCTGTATTGTATTATTAGGGTGTCTAAATTGTGTTAAAGTTAAAGATTTGTAACAAGCTGAGAGATAATGTGGGGTGTGGGGTGGAGGGGGGAGGGTTAAAAATCTTTTAAAATATTGTGATGTCATTTATGGATGGCGAAAAAGGATAAATGGGCACCAGGCCCCAACTCGGCGTACATTAAACAAAAATAACTATTCATGAGTTCAACGTTTAATTTTTTAAAATATATATATTTAAAAAAAAATATTTTTATAGAAATTAGAATGCACTTAACTAGAACTGTCACTGTTTTATCAACAGAATAAAATGGTGTCACTTTAATTTGTTTATCATATAAACAGTCTGATAGAAACCAGGTAGCTTACTTGTTGAGGATCATCAACATAATGCAAAGGCCAGTCTAACAGCCAACAGCAAAAATAACACATTGGGCTTTGAAAATCTGATATGTACTGCTTGACGAGCCTCTCCTCCTTGATGCCCCAGCCTTCTTTGGCCAGCCATTTCATAGATAGGGGCAGTGGGAGCGCACACATATTCATGGATCTCGTAAACCAATTACCTTCTCTGGGAGAAGCAATAAGTGAGAGAAGGCAAAGATCTACCAACAGACACACATGGTCATTATATCCAATTATAGATATATGCAAAAATCAATGGAAGTACATTTAAAGATTTGTATATGTTTGAAGGAGTCACATGAAATGTTGAAAGATGAAAGCTGATTGGTTTATACCTGAACTAATACAGAGATAATGATTAAAAGCTCAAGTCACTCACCAACCCAGTAATAGAAAACTATAGTAAAGATAAAGTTTTAAGACTTTATTTAGGAGACGTCACTTAAACCAAAGCTGTTAATGACAAGGTAGGAAATAAGGAAACTGGGTGATATAAATTAAAGATTAAATTATGATGCCTTAAATCTTTGTTAACTAGTTTTGATCAATCTTTGTTCTCAATATTCCTTTTAATCATGAAAATGTTCCTCTTCTAGTTAAATATCTCTACATACCGTTCCTCTTCTAGTCCCATCAATCCCCAAAAGTTGAAATAAGAATGAACGGGACTTATTTTGAAGACATTATGAGCACTTGCATGTCTATTTCCGTAGGGAACTATCACTCTCTTCTTTGGGATGAGAGGCCAAACCTTATCCCAATCATAGTCAATGGTAAAGTCTTCAATACCATAAGCAGACTCCACTGGTTCCATAAGTCCATGAAATTTAGAGTATTTGGAAGCACTAGTTTTTGTCAATACAGAGACAGATTATTAAAAATATTAACTTCTAATAAACCTTGAAAATTCAGCTACTTGAACTTCATTTCATTTATCTGAACACTATGAGTTAAAAAGTAGCTACGAAATTTCCCTTTTTAAAAAAAGTAGTTTTATTCTTACATTTTAACCCTATTTTGACATAACCTCACCTAACTCTTGGCACAGTGTTTCTAAAAATAGCTTCAGATACGACTTCAACAAGCCATACTGTCCCCACAGCTACCAGCAATCTGAGAAATTCCCCTCTTGAGCCATCAACAAGTATTTCTGGAACATTGGGTAGTACCTTCAGGTGAAGTCCTAGCTGGAAACGGGGATTTTTAACACAAAAAAGAAGCATTTATGTTATCTTTTTAGAACAGAAAGTCATACAATCTAAACATTTCTACCAACTTGAAACATATTTTGCAATTGTTCCTTTATGGCCAAGGGGATATTAATGTCAGAGCAATATGCCCAATTTATTTTTACTTTGCTAATAATAATAATAACCCATAGCTTTAATCTTGTTCTGTTGTTACACTGTACCGAATACAACTTCATTCTAACACCAAACTTTTTAAAATTATTCTTTGATGTTAGTACTGTATTTTTTTTTGGTGACTTAAGTTTTTGACATGTAATGTATGGGTGACCCCTTATCTTGAATCGATTTATTATGACTCACCTCACAAAGCAATGACAGATTTAACACAGCCGAAATTACAAAGAAAATAACGATGACATTGACAAAGTTGCTGTACGTTCCAAAGCGCACAGGGGAATGCATCATAGAAATCCAGATATCAAACAAGCATAATGATTTAAAAGCACTGAGAGTATCACTGAAACATATGCAAGCAGCGAGAATGATTGGAAATAACACTCATCATATTTGATAAAAGTTATGTTTACTTTGCAGCAAAAAGGTAAACATTTTAAAAAATATCCACCCTTAAAATAAATGTATCCAATTCTAACAATGAGACAAATAAAAGTATTCCTTGAATTTTTGAAATCATCTAAAGGCCTACCTTGTTTCTTTTTTGCAGGCCAGTGTTTCTTTCAAAATATCAGGACAGAGTAACTTGACACCCTTAGCACTCCACCTTAGCCTTGATGCTGGCTGCATGACACATATGTGTGATGGACGCCTACAGAGACGTGGACACCAAATGGATAGTGTTAATGGCACATGTGTCATGGACGTCTACAGAGACATGGACACCAAATGGATATTGTTAATGGCACATGTGTCATGGACGTCTACAG